GTCAGTGAGAAGGTCACATAAAAATTAACTATTATAATTTGTGTATTATTTTCCAACAAGGCGCGCTTTAAAAAACTCATGCTTCTATCAAAATGATACTTTGATTTATGTACATCAAATTTGTATCAATTGCATGATTTATCTTTACATCCTATTATACCTTGAAATTCTTAAAAATACCATACTTTCAAGTTTTGTTTAAGAAAATATAACTATTAGTTTGTTGTTCCAAAAAATACCACCGAAAGTGTTGGTATTCCAAAAATAGTATAATTTTTAAAGTGTAGGGTTTAATGTTTAAGTTTTAATTTTGAAAGTTGAAAGTTAAATTTTAGTTTATTTTATAGTATTTTTGAAAAATTAAAGCTTAAGTGGTATTTTTGAAAAACTAAAACTTAAGTAGTATCTATAGAAAACAAAAAGTTAAGCATGGTATTTTTGAAAATTGCCCTATCTATCTATATATATATATATATATATATACACACAAGGGTTTTGTGCAAAAAAAAAAACCCTCCAACTCGCCCATTTTTGCAACTTTACCATTCATCTTCAAAAAATGCAAATTAATCCTACAAAATTCAAAATAATACAAAATTAAAAATAGCTTTTAATTATTTCTTTGATCATGGAATGATTTGATTATTGATCTCAAAAATTAATTGAATATATTTCTTACACTAAAATTATATAAGACACATGTCAAAAGAATAGAGTGCCAAATGTCAGCTTTTTAAAGCTTATTTTCAAAAACCTTAGTTTATTATATACAATAAAATATATGAGACTTGTGGTGGTGAAATTTTTAGTTTGTTTAGTTTAGTTTGAGTTTGATCAAGAGAAGGAAAGTTTTTAAATATATATAGAAGTAGATTTAGGTTAAATGGTTTTGAATTTATTGTAAATTATTGATGTTACATATATGTTTGAATGAATTAATTACTGTCATTTAGTTAGTGTCAACACATGTATGAATTAGATGTTACAAAAAAATTCATATTTATGTAGTATTTATTATTGTCTTATATAAAATTGTTCACAAATTTTTGTATTTAACCATTTTTATTCTCATATCTACCTTTAATATTGAAAGTAGACACAAAAAAAATATAAAACACCCATCTTATGAGGCACAAAATATATATTTGGTGAATACAAAAAGTAAAAGATGCAAATGGTTAAATAAAAAGCAGCGATGTAGCCTACCTTGATGTGAAAAGACTGTAGCTAATTCTCTGTGATTCACAGAGCAATAGCCTCTATGATCGAATCTCGAAAGAGAACACTCCACAAGTGAACACCCTTCCTTGTAGAGCCAAGGAGCTCGGTAATGAGAAGGGCATACCTAAAACAAAAGAAGAAGACAAAAGACAATTACTTGTGTTGTATTCGGATCCTAACCCTAGACATGTACAGGAAAAGACAATAACAAAAAAACTCGTTAGTACAAAATTTGTTTTGTTAATGCAATGTTACTTTTAGATGAGTTAAATTCTTAAACTGACATTCACAAATTTACGGTGATGAATATGATTAGTAATCTCAATTATCATAAACAATATATTAATAGTTTCTTATATTATATGAGTGAAAAATAATTAGAGTGCCTAAAACTATTTACTATTGTTTGGACAATTTGAAAACATAACACTACAAAATGTTTTGAGCAAAAAAAAAAAAAAAAAAAAAAACACTACAAAATGTGTAATACAGTAAAACAAAATTAAGAAAATAATATATAAGAAAAGGCAAACAACATTAGAAGCATATATCAATCTATATATATATATATATATATATATATATATATATATATATATATATATATATATCAATAAATTATGTTAACTATTTGTATAAATTTAATAATTGTTTATTTATGCTATCAGTAGAACCATATATTTTTTATATAACTTTTTACTATTGTATCGAGTTATCTTAACTTTTATAAAGGCGGAATCCAAAATCAAAATTATTTATGGTTAATTTATAATGTTAAATAATTCATGGAGGCTTTTTACTTTATTGTGATTTTAATTGCATATAGTTAATGTCAAATAATATTTTTTCGATTTGTTTTTCTACTAATATTTTGCAAATAATGATAATTATTTAGGTGACTGTGTAGAAGTATATATAGTGAATATGAAACAATAAAGTTTTGTAAAATAATTTATTGAATAGATCTCTTACACTAAAATTATTAAAAAGACACGTGTCAAAAGAATAGAGTACCAAATGTCAGCTTTTTAAAGCTCAGTTCAAGAAACCTTACTTTATTATATAAGAAAGGAGGAATCCAAAATCAAAATAATTTATGATTAATTTATAATGTTAAATAATTCATGGAGGCTTTTTACTTTATTGTGATTTTGATTGCATATAGATAATGTCAAATAATATTTTTTCAATTTGTTTTTTATTAAAATTTTGCAAATAATGATAAATATTTAGGCGACTGTCTAGAAATATATATAGTGAATATGAAACAAGCGCCAAATGTGAGCTTCTTAAAACTCATTTTCAAGAAACTTTACTTTATTATATAAGAAATATAGATAATCTGATGGCTTGTACATTTTTTTTATTTTTAATTATTCTAACAACTCTTAAAGACTTATTGAATATCCAAGAAAATTTTAATACCCCGACATTTAAAAAGTTGTAAGACAGAATCATATATAGGAAAAGGAAATTTAATATTAAATATCAAATCAGGTGATAAACACCTTTTTATTTTATTAAGCATAAATCTTTAATTCGTGATACATCATTACTTAAGTGTTAAAACAATAAACACTCGTATTGTTGGTGACTAGATTTAGTTTTTAAACTTCGCTTCAAGATCCTTGACAACATTGACATCTAACTGAAACGCCTGAGCGAGAATATCTGGATTAATCGGGGGCGTTGACCCGAACACAGTGTCTGCGATCGTGATAACACCAGCGTTCTGACTACTTAGTCCAGCAAAAGCCACTGCTGGGGTCTTCCCGATATTCACTTGAAAATGGATCATTCCTATGGGGAACACGAACACGTCGCCGGGGTTCAGCACTTTGGCGAATAAACGGTTATTGTCTTGATTGGAAGAAACAAAACCAACATATAATGTTCCCTCGACAAGAACAAGGATCTCAGTGGCACGAGGGTGCGTGTGAGGTGGGTTTTGTCCATAAGGTGCATAGTCTATGCGGACCAAGGATATTCCCAAAGTGTTTAACCCTGGAATCTGGTCGACATTGACCGTTGTCACGTTGGATTTGACTCTATTATTAGTGGTCCCTGCCTGGTTGAGGCCTGAGTAGAAGAAATCTTCTGCCTTCGCTTGCTTCGGATCCTTGCAGAACTTACCATTCACAAAAACTGCAAGTACAAATATTGAGAGTAATAATTTAGTTGAGGAGAATCGAACTTACAAAATAATAAAGGAGAATAATAATTAGTTGAGAGTTCAAGAATTCGAGTTTTATACTTACCACCATTTTTGAGGTCACCAATGGCCACGCAGAAGTCTTGAAGTGGACTTGGATCAGAAGCTTCGGCAAAGGAAATGACCAAAGCCGATATTGTAATCAAGACGAGAGACATGGGAACCCTCATTTTCAAAGAAAAGGTTTTTATGAGTTTTTTTATGTGTGAGTGTGTGTGTTTGTGAATTGTGAATTGCATTTTAGCTCAGTATTTATAGGGCAAAAGCGTGTGTCATATTTGACGTGGTCCAAAGTTATGCTATACATTTGTAAGTCGCATGTTTCAAAGTGGCACACTACAAGAAATATCTACATTATTAGCAAGAGAGAAGAGCTATTATATGTCATCAATAGCGTTTTCATAAACGCTATCTTATGCCCCTGTTATGGTAGACCCCCATATACGATGACGTTTTTAGCATGCTATGATAGACCCTCATATACGATAGCATTTTCATATTATAGCATTAATCGAATGCTATACTATACTTTATTTTAACACCCGTTTAATGTTGTTTTATATAATATCGTAACATTTTTTTTGTTATATAAATTTAATTTATTATATAGAATAAATTTTATATTGGAACCCAATTTTGTAAAATTTACTTTTTATAAATTTTATAAATCATCAACAAGTAATATTACATTAACCAATTAGCCAAACAAGTCTTACATAACATCAACCAAGTCTTATACTAACATCATAAGTCTTAAACAATAAAACTAACATCATAAGGACAGAGACAAACTTCGATCTCTTCAATTTCTTCTCATCTATCTATTTCGCCTCCTCATCAAAAGTAGAACACATAAAACTTCAATCTGAACAATTGTTCCTATTAGTACTCCCTTCGATATGCTACATGAAACAAAAGAACAAGGGGATAGAAGACACCATCTTAGAACTCTTATTGACTAAGATGAAAAAAAAAATCGACACATGGGAATACATCTACCAAACATACACATATGTATACTACGTACTTGGTTAGTTTGAACATAATCATGATAGCCTTAGAATTAAGCTAATATGGAGTTTAAAACTTGAAGAAACGTCTTACCACTTAAGCTCCTACAACCACATGCAAGCTCCTTCTCCTAAATACCTTCCTTCTCATTTTGTATGAAGCAAACAAACTTAATTGAACAAAACAAAGATCTTTAGGAAAATTAAACTCAAACTTAGAAAGTAATATATCAATCACAGACATTGACACTTAAAGTCATAGAAAGAACATATCTTACTTGTAGCAAAACCACTCTTTTCAGCTGCTCACTTTGCTAAGGGGTTATAACAGCTTTGAAATACAAAGAAAAAAAAAATCAACCATAAGCAGAGAGCTAATAAAGAAAGAAAATAAAGTTTGAATTATGCAATAGTAAAGCTTATACCTTTCAACGACATTCACACTAAAAGTTAATTCCTACATTCTCAATCTTGGCAGCTAAAGCATTAATGAAATAAAACAAATAAAGCCCCTTTATAAAATAAGCATCACATAACCAAAATAGTAATAGCTATTTTCAGTTCCGCACCTGAGCTTCTGTAACTTCTTTTTCTACATTGGCTGCAACCATTAGTTCATCAAACTTCTCTGACTTTGCAAGCGTAATTTCAATCTGTAAAACCAAGACCAAATTAATAAATTGAGAAGAAGGTTGATTTGCATATGAGAAGAGTAAGTATCACCAACAAACAATGTATTCTGAGAAAATTAGCTTAATCAAGTCAAGAATCAGAGAATACTGAAATAAAAATACACATTACAGTATCAATAGAATATATACAGAAGAATAAAAAAAGAGAGGTTAAGATCATACATACCCATTCCAAGGGCAGAGAGTTCGACATCATTGTTTGCTGCCTATACCTCTTAACAAATCCAAACAACAAAAACTCACTTACATCAAAAACACAAGTAATAACCACAAAAACCTAATCCCTAAAAAAACCCAAACACGAGAATAAGCTAAAATACTCATAGAGAAACAGATTGGCTCTTCCTAATTGAAACAGTACAATCATATAGAAGTATATATAGATTTCCAGAAAAAATTGAGCTTCTGGACTTGATTCACACTAATATCCTCTCGACCCGAAAGAGTCAAGAACTTTCAAAGCAATCGAATTAAACTATGTACCTTGGCGAGATTGACGTAGAAGAACAATCGTTTCTTGGTGTTTGAAATCTGAATACGACTTTTCTTCTGGGAATCAACGGCCAAGTTCATGTTGTTCACTCCATTGGTGATCTCTTCCATGGTTGCTAATTCGGAATCCATAACCCTAACTTTTTCCGAGTAAGGGGACAACGACTAAACGAAATTAATCGACGAGGAGAATCAGCGACGACATCGGCGGCTAGGGTTTTAGGATGAGAGGAGACGATTCTTCTCCAAATGGTGATGGCGACGAATCACCTGAGACTAAAGGAAAAATGAAGGAATGGAGGCGAAATGAGGCCGAAGAGTTTCGTGGAGTCTATGGCTGATTGGAAGAGATCTAGGTTTTTTTTTTTGGTCGTACAAAGAAAGATAATTTTTTGGCTTTGGTATATATGATGGCACAAAAAATTTTAGATCTGAGATATGCGGCTCTTAAGTCAGAATAAATTATTTTAGCTTCCCGCTTAATGATTTTTTATCTTAGCATTATTTCAATGCTATTATATAGTAATCAAAATAAAACATTCATCTTTTATAGCAGTTACGGAAAATGAGCTATCTTCATGTGCTATCAATGTGGATATTTCTTGTAGTGGCAGTTCAAAAACGTTTAACAAGTCTATCAATAACCTAATCTATCTTTAATTAAAATTAATTGTATTTGCATGACTATCTACATACATCCGCACCAGAGCTTGTAGCTTACTGTAGCTAATTGATTTGTAATCAATTTTCCTTGTATCACCTTCTAAATTTAAGTCTGGTAAAATTTGAGTTTATGAATGTTGGCCGAAAAATATATATACGTCATCGCATGTTATGGGAAAAATTGAGAGTAGTAGCAAGTTCAATGGTAAATGCACCTCGATATTCATACAATTGGTCATTTGCTATGAGTTGTTTATCACGAGTATTTTTTTAATAGAAAATAAACACGAGCAAGTCTTCTACGTACATAATTCTGCTTTTATTTTAGATTGAATGTTTGGGTAATATTATTTTCAAAATATTGGTTGTTAGGGTAAGAAATTATCTAGGTGCGTTGAAAAACAAAATATCTTGGTGCATTGATCTTGGTTATTTTCACAATTCACAGGTCTTTCTTGGAATAGTATTCTCTCTCATAAAACCTAATGACTAATTCAAAGCAGGAAAAGTATGTTAATACTAAAATATCAAATTAAGCAAAAAAACATCATTAGTTGGTATATATCCCAGTCTTTAAACTGCTACAATGACAAAAGTAGTGACCAAATTTCCAACATGAATTTGTGTGTATCTTTTTATCTTTTTCCAACAAGACACGCTTTCAAAAATTCTCAATCAAAATGATACTTTGATTTTGGAAAATAAAATAGAATTTGATCGTCTATTTCGCATTTATCGCTTGATATATAATTCATTGGAGTTTGGGGTCTTTGAAGGATTGAAGTTTGTTTATTTACCCAAATATATTAGAGTTATTTAGATGATATTATTCGATGATGAAAGTTTTTTTCTCTTTTTTGACAGTTGAAAGTTTCTTCTAACAATTTTCCCTTCATAAATATTAAAATTTTATGATTATAGATGTACTTTAATTTTAGTAGTAAATTGATGCATTTCTATGAAATTTAATATTTCTGTTTTATGATCAAGTATCATTAACTCAATTGGTAAATACTCTCAGGTAAAGTATAGAGGTGAATGACATTTGGGAAGAGACCATATAAAATGCTCATGGTCTTTGAGGAGAAGTATGGGTTTAAGACTAGTATTTCTTAGTTATTAAAAAAAAATTTGTTGTATGGCTTGTTTACTTTGAGTAGTTTTATCTTTGGGTTGGCTGATTTTATAGCCATAAACTAGTTGCATTCTCAGCTTTTCCCCCAACCTTTTCGCTCCAGCTAATTCCACCATTAACTTAGATAATTCTCGCAATTTCAACATGTACTTTCGGATTCATCCTTAAAACTACGCCTCCAATTGAACCGGCCAATAAACCGGTACCACATAACTCGGTTTGATTTAATTCAAATTTAACCAAATTTAAACCCGATTTTGACCCAATCTTCTTCTTCTTCACCCGATTTTGACCAGAATTTTTTTTCTTTAACGACGGCAGACCCGACTTTCAACAACGACGTTTTGGGTCTCATCGACGGCAGATCTGAAGACTACGATCCCTGCAACTGGGTCGGTTGCACATGCGACCCTGCCTCCAACCGGGTCTCGAAGCTCCGACTTGACGCATTCTCTCTCTCCGGTCACATCGGCCGTGGCCTTCTCCGTCTCCAGTTCCTCCACACCTTGGTCCTCTCCAACAACAACCTCACCAGAACCCTAAACCCCGAGTTCCCTCACCTCGGCAGCCTCCAAGTCGTCGATTTCAGCGGCAATAGTCTCTCGGGTCAGATCCCAGACGGGTTCTTCGAGCAATGCGGGTCCTTGAGGTCCGTCTCCTTGGCCAACAACAAACTCACAGGTCCTCTTCCTGTCTCCCTCAGCTACTGTCGGAGAAGATGAACTAGGACTACGAGGAAGCGGAGGAGCTAGCAAAGGAGGAGGGTGGTGACGGTGATGAGGTTGATACTCAATTGTGGCGGTTGTGGATGAAGATGGAAGAAGAGACGGTGGTGGAACAGAGGAGGAATCGTCAGGTTCACGGCGGTGGAAGTTACGGTGACAACCACAAGCTGCACACTTGAGAGAAGTTGGATCGGAAGGTGTTGAAGAAGGAGACGGCATGAATTCTCCGCAACCGTCAAGCGCGTGACCACCAATCGCCGCCGAAGAAGAATAAGATTCGGTTGGGTTGGCTGATTTTATAAAATCTTGGTCAAAATCGGGTTTAAATTTGGTTAAATTTGAATTAAATCAAACCGGGTTATGTGGTACCAGTTTAATGACCGGTTCAATTGGAGGCGTAGTTTTAAGGATGAATCTGAAAGTACATGTTGAAATTGCGAGAATTATCTAAGTTAATGGTGGAATTAGCTGGAGCGAAAAGGTTGGGGGAAAAGCTGAGAATGCAACTAGTTTATGGCTATAAAATCAGCCAACCCAAAGATAAAACTACTCAAAGTAAACAAGCCATACAACAAATTTTTGTTTTAATAACTAAGAAATACTATTTTTGGAGAAATAGTTAAATATTTTAAATGGAAGTTTGAACTTGAGTTGCTTTATAAAAACAACATTCACACAAAGTACTAGATTATATGTCTTGATCATTTTCGTAATTTTATCCAATTGAGTAGTTTTCACTTTTCTTAGACAACGCGTCGTCCAAATCTACTTTATCTTTGGAAAATGAGGAACAAAAAGCATGCAATCTTAACGCCGGAGACAACTTTTAGAGCAACTGATTGCAACTTTTTAAGAAACAATATTTTGCAAGAAGTTCATCGATTCATTGTAAATCTTGTGCTGGAACTTGTTTTTTCTTGCCCGAGCTCTTTTCTTATCACATTCATTTCATAATCAATTCTTTTCAGTTACATAAAAAAGGAAAAATATACTTCATTTGGAATTCGTTCCGTATCATAGGCATACTTTATTCTGAGTAGTTGCTGTTTAAATTGAAGTGTCGTTTTCCTTAAATGTTTGTATTGTTCTAACAACTCTTAATATTGAATCGAGTATCCATCTCTTGATTATGCTGACAATAGGAAAATGTTTGACAAAATCAATATAAGTAGAGTACAATTCTTTCTAAATCTCAAATTAGGTGAACCAAATCATTTTTATTTTATTAAACATAACATTTTCTGATTTTCATAGTATTATTATAATGTTATTTAACTCTTACAATGAGAAGCACTCTTAGAAGACATAGACTCAATTCTTGGATGCAAACTTGGCCTCAAGGTCTTTGACGACATTCACATCTAACTGAAATGCCTGAGCCAGAACTTCTGGATAAATGGGAGGTTTCGAACCAAACACAGTGTTTGCAATTGTGATGACACCAGCGTTCTGACTACTAAGTCCGGCAAAGGCAACCGCGGGGGTCTTCCCGATATTCACTTGAAAATGAATCATCCCTATGGGGAACACGAACACATCACCGGGGTGCAAAATTTTGGCGAAAAGACGGTTATTGTCTTGATTGGAAGAGACAAACCCAACATATAACGTTCCCTCGACAAGGACAAGGATTTCAGTGGCACGCGGGTGTGTGTGAGGCGGGTTTTGGCCATAAGGCGCATAGTCTATGCGAACCAATGATATTCCCATAGTGTTTAGCCCTGGAATCTGATCAACATTCACTGTTGTGACGTTGGATTTGACATTATTATTGGTGCTTCCGGCCTTGTTGAGACCTGAGTAGAAGAAGTCTTCCGCCTTCGCTTGCTTTGGATCCTTACAGAACTTACCATTCACAAAAACTGCAAGTAGAAATATACTTTTGAAAAATATGTTCTTACAACAACGAATTTTATCATAATTAAACAAACATGATTATTTTTTTCATACCACCATTGTTGAGGTTACCAACGGCCACACAGAAGTCTTGGAGTGGACTCGGATCATAAGCATTGGAAAAGGGAATGACCAATACCAAAGAAATGATAGAGATGAGAGAGTGAGAAACCTTCATTTTGAAACAGAAGGTTATGCTTAATGCGTTTTAATGATTTGCTATTTGTGTGAGTGTTATTTGTTAAGCATAAGTGCTTACTATTTATAGAGCAAGAACGTATGTCATGTTTTGACGTGGTCCAAAAATATTTAAATCTATACTACGTTTCAAAGTGGCAGTTAGAAACTTAATTAGAATATTAACAAGTCTATAATTAAATTTATATTAATTAATTCGGATTATTTGGATGACACACTACCGCGTATTATAGGGAAAATTTATGCTTTGGAATAATATAAGTAGAATAGGCGGTAGGTAATGAACAAAATAAGTGGAATGTGACGAACAAATACATTATTAGATGGTAATTTTAAGAACGCAGATATTTTTTTAGAACTTTCAATTTTCGGATGACTAAACAGATTGTTTTTTTGCAAGAAATGTTTGGACGATTGATATGAAAAATAGACTTAGAATACTTCAACAATATAGGTTATTGGGATCAGAAAATGTTTTAAGTTAATAATTTTAGCTATTTTAAAGATTTTTTGCTTGTTTAATATTATTTTCCCTTACAAAAATGTAAGACTAAATCAATATAGGAGTGTTTTTAAGAAAATCAATATATGAAAAGTAAATTTACTACTCAACTAACAAATTACGTGGAAAACAATAACTAGTTGGTGATATCCCAGGCCACTTTTGAACTATTGCAACATCGAGAAAACAAGAAACCGGGATTCAACTTGTGTGATGATCATACTTTGAATATGTACATCAATATATTTCGTATCGATCGCATGATTCACTTCTTCTTTTTTTTTCCTTCTTTGCAAGATTGAAGGTTTTTTTATATCCAATACAATATTATATCAGAAGTTAACTAGGTGTTTTTCAATTATGAAACTGTGAAAGTGATTTCTTACAGGTTTTATGTCCAAATTTAAAACATATTCCATCCGTCTCACAAAGATAGATTTTTTTAGAAATTTTACATTCTTTAAAAAATAATGTATAATGACAGTTTTAACATTTTAACCTATTAACATATTTTAAAAAGTATATTATTTGTTGTTGTTTAATAAGGGTAAAATATGTAAACTGTTTTAAATTTGACATTGGAAATAAAAAAACTTCTATCTTTGTGGGACAAAATTTTTTTCTAAAAAATTCATCTTTGTGGGACGGAGAGAGTATATTAGAAGTTAATTAACGAGGTGTTTTTCCAACTGTGAGATTTTTCTTGCAGTTCTTAACCGCAAAAAAAAGAGAAGAAAAAAAAAATTCTTAAAGACATGTTAGCTAGGTATCCATGGAAATTTAATATGCCGACATTTCTAAAATGTAAGAATAAATCTGTATGGGAAAACTAAAGTTCATATATATATCAGAAAGTAGAAATTAGGTAAACATTAGTTTACTTTATAAGACATAACTATTTCTTAGTATTGCATTTGTAAAAGAGTGTTAATTACAATGATAAACACTCTATAACGACTAGATTCAGTTCATATGGACCCAAACTTGGCCTGAAGTTCTTTGACAACACTTGCATCCAACCGGAATGCCCTGGCGAGAAGCTCTGGATAAATTGGAGGGTTTGACCCAAAAACAGTGTTTGCGATTGTGATGACACCAGCGTTCTGACTACTCAATCCCGCAAAAGCAACGGCTGGAATTTTCCCGATATTTACCTGAAAATGGATCATTCCTATGGGGAACACAAAAACATCACCGGGGTGCAATACTTTGGCGAATAACCGGTTGTTATCTTGATTGGATGAGACAAAACCGACGTATAATGTTCCTTTGACAAGGACAAGGATCTCTGAGCCACGAGGGTGCGTGTGAGGTGGATTTTGGCCATGAGGTGCGTAGTCTATGCGGACCAATGATATTCCCATGGTGTTTAGCCCTGGGATCTGATCAACATTTACAATGGTCACATTAGAGCCAACTTGATTATCCGTGTTCCCGGGTACGTTGAGGCCTGAGAAGAAAAAATCTTTTGCATCGACTCGCTTCGGGTCTTTACAAAACCTACCGTTCACAAAAACTGCATGTAGAAGAGTATATATTATTACAACGTCAAAGATAATCATAAGGAGAAAGTAGAGAAATAGATAAACGGAGGCTTCTTTACGATACGTACCGCCTTTTAGGTCATCAATGGCAACACAGAAGTCTTGGAGTGGACTTGGATCATAAGCATTGGCAAAGGAAATGACTAAAGAAATTATGGCAATAGGGATGAGAGATTGAGAAACCATCATTATGCTATAATGCTCGCTCTAAATTTGTTATGCATGTATTATTGGTGAATCGTCAGTGCTTTAAAATTTATATATAGGACAAGAGCATAAGTCATATTTGACATGGAATGCACTAAATAATTAATATTTAATGTAATTACACAAGTTTGGTACGGACTTTTAGTTACAAGAGAGCATATAAACAAAAAAGACTGGTAGTTGGAATTCCTTTAGGAAGATTGGCCAAATGTTGATGAGTAGATGTCAAAGAACGTAAAGACGTAACGTTAGGAGAGAGTCCCACCCACCTATTAGATGAAATCAAATTTGTATTATTATGTAACACACGACCAAAAGTTTCATAGGGAGAATATAGGTTGCATATAGTGTGTATGGAATAATCATTAATTGACTGAGTACAAGAGAAATATAAATTATAAATTTTTACGTTCAGACTATATGAATGGTTTCTTATCTGCGAGCTTTGAACCGTAATTGAGAACCCTAGTCATTTCCATGCAGTTTCCAACTGGTAAGTCAAATATAAATTCTAAATTATATAAAGTATCAAACACTTGAAATTTTAACCGACTATGAAAAATGCATTTTAAGTTATATAAATAGCATACAGAATTTAAAAGTTCTTTTTTTATCACTATTTTTTTCCTGTATTTGGGAGCGACCAAATTTATAAAGAATATATAATTAAGATACATAATTTATTGCAAATATTTACAGAATACCTTATCTTTTTTTTTTCTTCCATAGACACATTAGGATTACGTAGTATATCTGAATTTTGTTACATAGGATACAATCGGTAATTACCTTGTCCAATGTCTCGCGTCTCTCTTGGACAGCTACGACCTAAATAATAATTGACATGGCAAAGAGAAATAACCTCAATTTTTCTCGGAAAAACAGAGAAAACAAGAAAGCCAACCACCAGCACCGCCCTGTTTCGAAGCATCCTGGTACAAACCGGTCTTCGAGTCGAGTCTTGATAGTTCTCTTTTTCCACTTTCACTCTTCATGTTTAGTGATGTCTTTCGTTCTTGTTGGTACTCTCCTAATCTACAGAAACAGAAAGAAAAAAAATTTAAAACTAAACCAATAGACCTCATAAGTACAACTCACTAAAACCGAGTTTTCGGTCCAACCAATCTGGTTCTAACTGAGCAAATAGGCATGGAAGATTAGACAACGACTTACGTGGGAAATGCGAAAGAAGCTGCACTGTTATTACTTGTTTCAGAGTGATAAGACTTGGTCGGAGAAATAGGAATCTGCTGTCGTGGATCCGGTTTTGGAACATTGATTAAGCCATCTCGATTACCAGGTTTTGGTCCCGTCTCTACTACGGTTATATTGACTTCTTTCGTTCCAGGGTCGGTCAAAGTGTTTTTGTTATCAATGTTGTTGTTATTGTAGCTAATATAGGGCGAAGCAGTATATTCGAAATTGGTGAGTTCTCCAGATTTATACATTTTGGAGAAACTATGGTCTCCCATGTGAATACTGAACAAAGATTCGTTCGATTGGATACTCCATTCTTGTTTAGGAGTTATCGAGGTTGCGAAAATCGAATGTGGAATCCGATCCGGTTCATAGCCTGGTTTAGTTTCCTGGTCCATTTGTGTACCTGTTTCCAAAGAAAAATATGAGATATCAATGTATGTAATCAGATTTCTTCAAAAATGGAATATTTGTAGCCAAAAGAAGAGCTCTCATCACCTTTGATCAAGTTCAAGCTGAGAGTTCTTCAAGAACCAAAAGGTTGAAATGAACGATTTCTTTCTTTTTAAAAAATGATGTGAGGAAAATAGATCAAAGCTGTGTCCTCATTAATAATGACTATTTTTCGTTGGATAACAAACGTAATTAAACTAACTAATCTCCATTAAAGAGTTAGTTATAAATTTTTTAAACCAAAAAAGTTTGGACTTCGGGTATAAGTTATAACCAAATCCTTGTCGTCATTAATAATGACTACTTTTTGGATATATTATTAAAAACCAACTAATCTCTATTAGCTAGAGAGTTATTATAAATTAAGATAAACAATTTGGACTTCGGTTTTAAGTTATAACCAAAAAATGTTTCTAAGAAAGTTGGACAAATTCAAAGGCTGAGAGCCTAACTCGTAGCTGTTATTATTTTACGTTGGTCAGTTGGCCAATCAACAACTGAATCAAAATTTTGTATTTTTATATAATATATAGAATTAAGAATATAATATGATAATTTACTCCAAACATATAGGTTGTGAATGGCAGCATTGAAATCGCAAACGATCTAAAATTTTTATGATTGGTGAACTAAAAGTGATTTTGCCAAAACCACTTAAAATTCCGCACTGAGAGTGCTACCATTCAACGCCTAAAAGAGGTATCCCAAATTGAAAAGCGGTCCATGTGTTTTTACTTTTTTCTGAAAAACGCAATATGTTTTTTTTTTTTTTTTTTAAACGCAAATGTATAACAGTAAATGCTGATTGGTAAATGAGGTGCGGTTTTCGAAAACAAATATTGAAAAACGCGATTTCAATGCTGCCATTCACAACCTAAAAATCAAACAAAACGCGCACGGATTTCAAGCATCAAATTACCCAACAAAATTTTGGACCGCACTTCAAATTCACACAGCGGGTAATAACCAGCGGTTTCAATAAATAACGCACTGGATAATATTTTAATATTATAATTTTAAGAAATTTATTGTACATATGGATATATTACACACTTATTGGCAGTTTACCTTAAAAAATGTAGATCACTATCTCTCCATCTTGAAGAGTTAAGTTTTAAATTTAAATTACATTACAACATAGTCAATTTATGCATATGATATAAGTTAAAATATATTATATCATACAAACTAATAAACTATTTCATACAAAATTAAATTTATATTTTGATCGTATTAGTCGTTTATAAATATCTGTTATTATTTATTTATTAACATAAATTAAATTAATTAGTTATTAATATATATATATAATCTATAATCCGCACCGCAATTAGTTTTTTCACAAATCAAACATTATTCTGTACCGCTTATTTTATACAAACCGCACTTGTCCCGCAAATATATTTCTCCCGCACGTACCGCAGTTGAACCGTACCGCACTGTAATAACGCTTTCCCCGCACAACAAAAACCGCAGTTACCATTCGGACCCATATTGTACAAGCTGAGTAGAATTTTAGAATTTTAATTTTGTAGAATTTTAGTAATCATCAATGGCCCTATTTGGGTCATCAATGGCCCATTAAAGATATATGAGTTACATTCATAATTTTAAGGAAAAGAAATAGTTGGTGTATGCTCCTCGTAATATCATCTTATCTACAAGAAGCTTATATTGCTGCTACTAAAATACAAAATTGTTGGAAGTAATTTTTCAAGATATCAAAATGGAGTGTTCGCTGCAGCAACAGCTTCTCAACAACGGAGATAAGCTCTTTAGTTGTAAGCTCTAACACTTTCTTCCCTCATATTCACATCTATTAGTGCAAATCAAGAATAACTTTAACCAATCGATTGCAATTCCTCCATTTTCTTTGCTTTCAGCTCGACATAACCAACAGGTTTCGATAGAACAATTCCATGTAACAGATTCTCTTCTCGCAAACTCGCTAAACCTGTTTCATAAACCTATAAGTTCTCCAATATTGTCCATCATCACTTCAAGAAAGAGCAAAAGCCATTTTAGAGTAAGTGTTGGTTACTTGCAATTTTGTAGAATATTTTGTAAGTTGATAACATTTAAGAGATTATGTTGATAATTTTTTGAAATTGGTGATTTCAGTCATCTTGCAATCCCGGAAACTAAATCACTAAACTCAAAGATATTCCATAGTTGACCACTTAATTATTCAAAAAAAAAGATTAAGGTAACTTAATATGATTTAACAAATGTCTAATGTGATTATATAATTTAGGTTTGTGCAACAAGGAGAAGAAGGGTGCATTATTCGAACTCGGATACGTACGTACTGTTAGAGGCAGGACAAGACGAGCAGTTTGTGTCGGAAGACGAACTCAAGGCTAAGCTCAGAGGGTGGCTCGAGAATTGGCCGGTGAACTCTTTGCCACCAGACCTGGCTAGGTTCAATGACCTTGACGAAGCCGTCGATTTCTTGGTTAAAGCTGTATGTGAACTTGAAATTCATGGAGAAGTAGGTTCTGTTCAATGGTACCAAGTTCGTCTTGAGTAAGTAAAAAATCGTATTATGTCTTTTCAATGTACTAAGCACATTTCTTTAAACTAGTACATTTGTTTTGTTCTTTAATAGATACTTTTTATTGTTGTAGATGTCAAAATGTTGTGTGCTGATTTTATAATATTAATAAAAGAGAATTAGGGTCAAAGTTTTGGTAAATAAGACACTACTCGAACTAAACAATATGCGAGTTTGATTCAAGTTTTCTTTCTTATGTTGTAATCCAAATTCCTTTGCTTTGTGGTCTACATATTTTACTTTGTGGGACTTATCTCCAAGTTTCTTTAACAAAATCGAAGACGGCTGAAGTTCCATCCCTTTAAGTCAAAGAACTTTCAAGATTGAGATTCAATTGGGATTTTTGTAGATTGATCCCTGATCATGACTCCAATTATTTTTTTTAATTATCGCCTAATTAGAATTCAAAAGAGTCATTCCTGATGAATGTTGTTTATATATGTGATGTGATGCGGTTCGGTTAGAACTTTTTGTGCCAAATTATACGCTTTAACATTTGTAGTTTGTACAGAGAAAAATTAAAAATAAAAAGAAGCTTGAGAATTTTTCCTTGTCGCTCTGAAATTCTTCCAAATACACTGAAAATGCCTGCCAGTCGGTTGGAAAAGACACCATCTTCACCAATTCTGAACATTCTGTAAAAAATGCAACATCTTAGTTGTCGGCACCAATCATATACTACATCGCCCAAAGAAGAGTTTCCACTTTTGTATGTAGTGGAGTGAGACTTCCACAGAGGTTGGTAGCTGGGAACATATTTATTTGTGTTGTCCATTTTCGACCTATTGTTCATGATATAGAATTTCCACTATGTGAGTGCATGTAAAATCCGCGTTTTGACACTCGGATTTGTTGTTTGAAAGAGTATTGGAGATAATATATTTAATTGTGTTGTTACTGCATATAGTTATGTTTGTATGTAAAAAAAATCTTAAAAAGGTTTAATGACATTAAAATTCTTAAATTCATTTACGTTTTGGTGACTAAATTGTGTTTTAAGAACTTACTTATATTATCTTAATCTTAGTTCTGGTTTTTTATTATTTAGTTTAATTTAATCATATGTGATTCCTTATTTAATATTTTAAATAATATCTAATTTAACTTGCATGTTCATTTATTTTTTGTCAAACAACTTTCAATCACTTAAAACCTCAAACGAGGGAAGTTCATACGCATTGAAGATGAGATAAAAACAAAGGGAATAAAGATAAAGGCTCCATGAGTTTTCCAAAAAGATGCTTACCAATAAGAAGTTTGCAATGTTTGAAAAATAACGGATTCGACCATGAAGATGGGCTTCGTGAAATCCTCGACCAATGAGTGGTCATAGACAGCTCGCGCGGATAACGCATACAAGCTTTTAAAAAAGGCTCCACAGAGGAGGCTGTCAGATAAAGAAGGTTGTAGAAACTTCGGTAACCACCTCTCATTGGAGACGGGTCAAAATACCGTTCTTCTTCAAGCTTTTAAAAGTTTGCAAATTATCCATGAACTTGCCAAAGCATCTTAAGGAGTTGCTCACCTTAAGAATTACATATGCCCGGAAGATCCACCATTCGCAGGTGTTGATTGATATCATTTGCTTGAGCTTAGAGTTCAGGGGCAACAAATATAAAGAGTTGAGAAAGCTTCGGTAGTCAACGCTCCGTAGAGACGGATCATAATTTCGAATTCCTTCAAGCTTTTGGTTTCATAAGCTTTGGTTTCATGAATCATATCCCTAGTTGTAACTAATGGCAAGGTTTTCAAAAAATGTTTTTACCCAACTAGTAACGATGGTGCATTATGTCCTAATTGATGTCCTCGTTCAACTGGTTTCATGAAACAACACAAAGATTGACTAAGATTGGGTAAAGATGTGTTTAGAATCAGATCTGGATATTTGCTGAATATGGCGTGGGTCACAAATATTGAAATTGGGCTTTGAACACCTTATTGGATCAAAATTTTCTAAACCCACCAGATGAAAATCTAGTTTCAATTTGGTTGGCAGATGAGGGATCTGAGTCCGGTAGCCGTACTAAGATGATGATGATTGGTTTTGCGATGGCTCGAGCATTTCTGGTGAACGAAAAAGCGGTGGCTGATGGGTTGACTTGAGATTCAAGGCACATGAAAAAACCATGGGAGTTTAGTTTCTCCAGTGAGGGAATTCGGGATCAAGAGGAGCAATAGGAATGGTGCCGGGGAAGATGATGCGAGTAGAGGGTGAGAGATGGACTTCGACAGCCATCTGCTGCTTACTTTGATGCTAATTGTTAATACGCCTGAGAGATGCATGTGGTTCGAGAAGATTCGAGAGGGTTTAAAGAAGTAAAAAAGTTTAACTAAAGAGAAAGCAGAAACACGAAATCGAGAACTAAGGAATGCATGGTGATTTATGTCCCGACGCCGGCAAGGAAGAGCTTTGCCGACGTCGGAGAACAGGTTTGGTGGATATTCCATGATTCTTGTGTCTGAGAGATTTTTTAGCATAAGTAAAGAGTTTTATTTTTCTAAGTATCTAACTTGCATATTCATAAGTACCGAAATTCATTGATGGATTTAAATCATACTAGTATATAAGTTTGAATGGGGTTGGGTTTAATTTAATTTAATTGTGTTGTTAATGCATTTGATTTTTTGATTTTAATAAAAAAAAACATTCTCAGAAAGATTAATTCACCCAATAAGTAAATTAAATATATAAAAATGTAAATTAAATATATAAAGTGAGAGCTAAACGATTTTATAGTTAAGATGATCTATAATATATAATATATTAAGATGTAATATATTAAAAATATAATGTAAATTAAGTTAATTTTATAGTTAAGATGATCTATAATATATAAAAATGTAAATTAAATAAAAAGATTTTGCACCAATAGAGTGAGAGCTAAACTCAACTTTGATATATTATGTAATGAATGACTTTAATACTTGTGAATATGTAAATTAAGTATTATATAAAGAATCATACGTGTTCAAATTGAAATTAAAGATTTGGATATATTTTAGAGAAATTGTTAAAAATGCCCCTTTTTCAATACCCCTTTTCAAAAATGCCCCCTTTGAGAGTCCATTTTTAAGTTTGCCCTCTTTTAATTTTTAATGACCATTTTACCCTTATTTGAAACAAAATTAGGTCCACAAAATACAAAATATTTTTTGGCGGGAAAAGTGATCCCGCAATTTTCCCGCCAAAACACTTGTAAAAACCTTTAAAAAACCTTGTAAAATTTTCCCGTAAAAATTTTTCCCGCCAAAAAATTTTCCCGCCAAAACAATTTTTTTGCGGGAAAAATGATTCCGCAATTTTTTTTGCGAAATTTTTTTGGCGGGAAAATTTTTGGCGGGAAAAATTTACAAGGTATTTTAAAGGTTTTACAGAGTATTTACAAGTGTTTTGTAAGGTTTTACAATGTATTTTAAAAGGTTTTACAAGGTACTTATAAGGTTTTATAAGGTATTTATAACTTGTAAAACCTTATAAAAAACTTGTAAAACCTTATAACTTGTAAAAACCTTATAAAATAGCTTGTAAAATCTTATAATATCTTATAAATACCTTGTAAATACGTTGTAAAACCTTTTAAAATACATTGTAAAACCTTATAAATACCTTGTAAAAAACCTTTAAAATACCTTGTAAATTTTTGGCGGGAAAAATTTTCCCGCCAAAAATTTAACGCCAAAAAAATTGCGGAATCACTTTTCCCGCAAAAAAAAATTTTTGGCGGGAAAATTTTTTTGCGGGAAAAAGTTTTACGGAAAAATTTTACAAGGTATTTTAAAGGTTTTACAAGTTTTTACAAGTGTTTTGGCGGGAAAAATTGCGGGATCACTTTTCCCGCCAAAAAATATTTTGTATTTTGTGGACCTAATTTTGTTATATTTCCTTATATATTTGTGATATCTTTTATTAAAAGAAGGGTAATTTAGTCATTTTGTACATAAAAAGGGGTATTTTTAAAAATGGACAGCCAAAGGGGGCATTTTTGAAAAGGGGTATTAAAAAAGGGGCATTTTTGTGAGTCTCCCTATATTTTATATTTCATTATTAATTAATATTTAAGGTAATTTTAGAAAAATTTAGCAAAAAAAAAACCTACTGTAGTTTGAAACTAGGTCTTAATGTAGCTGTTAATGTAGTGGTACTAAAATATAAAACCTATTTAGAGCATCTGCAGTGGCATAACTTGGGTCATGTTCTTCACATTATTAAAATTGGGAAATAATGAATAGTGGGCTTGGATCAGAGAGAATCGATCTTGCCCAAGATGTGTTTTAACCCTTGTTCTTCGGTGTACGTGGCAGCCCGTGATTGGATCCGCTTTTTTGCAAAGGAGAAAACATTTTCATTTCTCCAAAAATCGAAATCGCGACTAGGTTTCTTCTTCCTTTCCAAAGCGGCGATAGCTCATCATCTTCTCCGATTAAGGTTTGTTTTCCGGCCATTAAAACACCAAAATCGAGATCTCTTCCATGTAGAAATCGATCTGTACATAGTTTTGTGAATTTCATCCGTTAAAAATGTCTTCTTTGTCGATTCATAGGTCCGGCGATTTGAAGTCGAAGTCGAATTCCTTTCCTTACGCCTTTGTATCCTCGTCTCCTCTGTCTCCCAAATCTCATCTCCGGCGAAATAGACAAGGTAGTCCCCTCGTGTCCTCCCTCAGTTATGTTTCATCGATTTTGGGTCTTGAAATCTGTGAATTAGGTTTGGGTTTAGTATAAATGTTATAGGGTTTCATCTAATCTGTCAATTAAAGGTTTGGATTGGTCTCGAATGTTTGATTGGTTTATGTCTTGCAATTTGTGATTGTCTTGCAATTTGGATAAGATGGTCTTGCAATTTGGATAATGATCCCTGTTTCCACTTGAGTTGTGATGGTCTTGCAATTTTAAAACTGATTTATATGAAACCTAACCCTTAATGTTTTAACAAAACTGAATTGCTAGATGATATGAATTTTTAGGATATTCTAGTTGAGTTCAATGCGTTAACACAACCAAACTTTTTTGGTTTACTTATAAAAAACACTCAATGACCTTCATTTACTTCTGAAGTGACTGAAGTAGGTAATGGTTATTTAGAATTAAAAGTCTTTAACAACACTACATTACATCCAACTGCTTAGAATTAAAAGTCTTTAACAACTTCTTAACTTCTCTATATTACATCCAAGCCAATACTAAATCTCTCATACCTTCTACTTCTCTGATCCAATAATCTCTCTTCAAGCCAATAGTCTCTGTTCTAGCCAATAATCTCTCTTCCTCTGAATGCTATGGAACCAAATAATACTCCAAATAATAGTCAGTCTCAATCCTACTTCAGCCTTCTTAACTTCCCATATGATGGCTTTGATCGCAATGCAAACATTGGTTCCTCCCAAATCCCTCCTTTTAGTTCACAAACTAGTTCAAAAAGGATGCAAGGTTCCGAAATGGTGTATCACCGCTAGTACAATGTACTGCAGCAATTCGGCTATTAGCATATGGGACTGGGTCGGACTCGGTTGACGAATATTTACGTATTGGTGAATCGACTGCTCGTGAATGTTTGGAACATTTCGTCGTCGGAATAGTGGACTTGTTTGGCACTGAATACCTACGGCGACCCACACAAGAGGATCTCCGAAGGCTACTCTTTTATGGAGAAAAGCGGGGTTTTCCCGGGATGGTTGGCAGCATCGACTGTATGCATTGGAAGTGGAAGAATTGCCCAACTGCTTGGAAAGGAATGTATTCACGAGGCACCAGTAAACCAACAATTGTTTTGGAGGCGGTAGCTTCACAAGATCTCTGGATATGGCACGCATTTTTTGGAGCGCCAGGTACTAGTAACGATTTAAATGTTCTTGATCAATCTCCAGTTTTTAATGACATTATTTACGGTCGAGCTCCCGAAGTGACGTACTATGTCAACGGAAGGGAGTATAATTTGGCTTACTATCTGACGGATGGCATTTACCCCGAATGGGCGACATTTGTTAAATCCATCCCAAAACCACAACACCCGGAACATAGTTTGTTTGCTGAACGTCAAGAAGGTGCACGAAAAGATGTTGAGCGTGCATTTGGAGTCCTGCAATCTAGATTCGCCATGATTAAAAATCCATCTCTTTTATGGTCGAAAGGTAAAATAGCATATATTATGAGAGCTTGTCTCATACTCCATAATATGATTGTCGAAGATGAGCGAGATTCATACACTCTCTATGACGAAAATGAATTCCGACAAGAAGATGAAACCGAAATACCTCGGGATCTTACGTTTTCAGTAAATATGGCTACAAATCTTGAAGGTTTAGGTGATGGGCATACAAGAATTCGTGATAGACAAGCACATCACCAATTAAAAGAGGATTTGATTCAACATATTTGGAATAAATTTGGACAATAAACTATGTATTAATTAGATAAAATGTTTTTGTGCTTTTATTAAGTAATATGTTTGTTTGTTTATTGTTATTTATATTTTTAATGTTTTTTTTCATAAATATTTAGTATTGTATTTTCACAAACATTTCACTTTTAAATGTTTTAATAATTGTAAAATCTTAATTTAATTTAGATTATTATATTATTAAATCTTAAGATCTTACACATGTTCTCCCACTAATCAACTTCTAAACAAAAGATCTAAACACATGATCTTACATTATTTTAACATTATATTCTCTCTAAGAACATCCTCACATGATCCCCCATTGATGATGCCCTTAGAGAAGATATGTGGATTGTGGGCCTTGTGGCCAGGCCGTGATGTGGCAGAAAGCAGAAACTAGGGACATTTTATTGTCATTGAGAAGAAACTTTATTATATAAGATTAACTGATTAAATAACAATGTGCCATGTATTATATGTAATGTTATACTCCACAAAAGTGATTAAGTAAGATTCTACTACACAAAAGTAACATTATTTAACACGTTAATTACTGTTTGGAAGATATTATGGACGGAGAGAAACAAAAAATATTATTTGTTGTGGCTCTACTTTTTTTTTGTCTTTAAGCCTCAAAAATTAGAAAGCGTGTAAATTGTCAGAAAACTTGTGTGGTCATTTCAAAAGAAAACAACAAAAAGAAGTAAATAAAAAATAACAAGATTTTAATTAATGAGAAATAACAAGAAGTAGTTGCATTGCACTTTTGATTTAAATTATATTCAAATGGTTATTGTCCAAACATAACACTCTTTTCTATATATAGGTAGTCTCTTCAATATCACAAATACTCGAATCACAATATTAAACACTTAAATAATTCATAATTTTCTTGTAGAAAAGATTCAAAAACAAGTACAAGCAGTGAAAGCTCAAGAGAGAGAAATGATGGGTAGCTTGAAAATGGTCTTTCCACCACCTCCGGTGACAAGATTCCGGCAACGGGTAACGGCGAACGGAGATGGGTTTCCGGCATTTCTTCCGAAGGAGATACAGAACATAAGAGACCCATTTGCAAGAGCTTTAGCTCAAAGGATTGTACGAATTCCTGTTCCTCTTCAGGTTCTTCTTCTCTCTATCTCTTGCATGTACTAAAACAGAGAATTTTGATCCTTAATTTCTTGAAAGTTTTTAAGTTTTTGTGTAAGAAAATGAAAATGTCTTTGCAGGTGGGAAACTTTAGAGGCAGTGTAATGAGTAGCTGCATCAAACCACTTGTTCAATTACATGACAAAAGTCCTGTTGTTCTTCTCCATTGTTTCGACAGGTTTTGTAATTTTTTTTTTTTACTGACAGTATAATTATTCTTGTGAACACTGTGTCTGACTTTTAACTTTGTCGGAATTCTTTTGGGCTTTTAGTTCTTGTCTTGAATGGAGACGCACTTATCCTCTGCTTGAACAAGCTTGTCTTGAGACTTGGGCTATTGATGTTCTTGGTTGGGGTTTCTCAGATCTTGGTAAGATTTACATTTTTACACAAATTAAACAAGATTCTTGAGAATTCGATTTTAGAAGATATTAATGTGTGATTGATTCTTTTCAAAATTCAAGAACTTACTGATTTAACGACATTGTAGAGAAACTACCACCATGTGATGCAGCATCTAAGCGACATCATCTATTCGAGGTCAGTACTATTTATCAATTATACTACAAGAAAACAAGCGAATAACAACGAAAAAATTCTGTCACTAAATGAATGATATCAGTCGCTATATCACTTTCTTTTGGGACAACTAACTATACACTAAATGTACTATCATCGATGATTACAAATTCGTGTTACTGCTAAACAACAACACATATAAAGTTGTGGCAAATTTAGCATTGACGTTGGGATCGTCTAGTCCGTCTTGAATTTCCTGATGATTTTTGCGATAGATTCTGTTGGTTGGTAAATAATAATTGATAAAGTGACAAATGCGCGACTATATACTTGGTTGAAACCGATGAATTATTTACAGAATTTCTAAGGCATAGCTTATTCATTGGTATTTGATCGTTAATTTAGTGAAAAATCCACTGTCGCTATATAGTCTGTTTCGTGTAGTACTCCTTGTTGTAATATGCGGTATGGATTTTCCCCATGGTTAATCCTTTGTTCTTTGGTCTTTGGTTTGAATTTCAGCTTTGGAAAACATATATCAAACGACCAATGATCTTAGTTGGACCAAGCTTAGGAGCAACCGTAGCAGTTGATTTCACTGCTACATACCCCGAAGCTGTAAATTTTCAGTTTACCACAATCAAATACTCTTTTGGATTAAACCCATCTTAATACTTCACTCAGTAAATCTGATTATTTCCGCGCTTTTCAGGTTGATAAATTGGTTCTTATTAATGCCAATGCGTATTCTGAAGGAACCGGTCGGCTCAAAGAGTTACCAAAATCCATCGCTTACGCTGGGGTTTGTCCGAAAACTCTTATTATACTCGAGATTTAACGTTTGTATTAACATCGTTGTTGTTCTTTCAGGTAAAGTTGTTAAAGTCATTCCCTCTGCGCCTTTTGGCCAACGTCTTAGCCTTTTGTTCCTCACCCTTATCCGAGAACATAGATTGGACTAATGTAAGATCAAATCCCCCTTCATTTTTTCTTATCTTTTTCATATATCAAAGTGATTAAAAAAAATGACTCTGCTTTTGTGTAGATTGGCCGGTTACATTGTCAAATGCCATGGTGGGAGGATGCTATGGTCGATTTTATGATTAGTGGAGGCTATAACGTCGCATCACACATCAAACTCGTAATAAAAATACTTCACATAGTTATCCAAATGTAACAAAAAAAACCGAATCAGCTTATATATGTTCTGACTTTGTTTACATTTTGGATGTAACACGTGCGCAGATCGACCATAAGACGCTCGTTGTATGCAGTGAGAACGATCAGATTGTTAGCAACCAGCTCTCAGTTGTAAGTTTTCTTCAATTGAAAACATAGAAAAGTTAGTTGAAAAAGTTTCTTAATGTCATCAACAAAATGCAGAAATTGTTGTGTGAGCTAGCAAATGCGGTTTTACGGGAAGTACCAGATTCCGGTCATCTTCCACATGTTGAGAACCCTAAACACATTGTGAAGCTGATATCGGATTTCGCCAGTGGAAAGCTCTATTGATTCCATATACTGTAAACTCTGCTTCAAACTCATTGATTGGCTACAGAGGAAGGAGTTATAACTTATATATGATTAATAAAATACAAATTATTAGATTAGTCCATGATGAGCCTGGGATGGCTATATATATATGTATTTGTTTTATGAAAAAAGGAAGCAATAGAAACATCTACATAATCATTTTCTAAGCTATAAATTATAAGTGTATTGATTTAAATTCAAGATTGTAGGGAGGTATGTGGATGCGAGATCCGCTAAGGTGATTTTCTCCAAGAACATGTAATGAAAAAAGCTTTGTCTAAACAGAACAAAACCAAACTCAAAGAGATGTTTGAATTAGGGAAATGATTATAAAAGACAATTTGATTGCTCTCTAAAACTCTCAAGTCCAAAATAGATTTTTTTTTTTTGTCCAAAATAGATTTATTTTCTGATGCATGCTTCTACTCTATTTTATAAACCAAACTTGTTTTCCTTTCGTTGTGGTTGCCAGTTCTAAGGTGATGTAGAAACTGCTTCATGAATCATCTCAAAAAATATCTCACATTTATTGAAACTTTTGGTAGATGATAAAAAGTACTATGTACTGTTTATTGAATTAGTTCATGGATCATATTAAACACAAAGCATTGTCCTTTTCACTCTTGATTTGGAGATACAGTGATTGGAAACTTATTTAGGCTTATTAATAGTCAAATCTTTAAACATGAAAATATTTGTAATATTTAAATATAAGTAGATTGAGGAACCAAAGCAAAAGCAAATCCTATTATGAACATTTATGCTGATTAATAATAATCATATCTTAAACAGAACTTAGATTTAATAGTATAATAAACAAAGGATAAAACCAAATCCTGTTGGGAAAAGAAAAATTTCCACCTTCCCATCACCTTCCTTTGGTATAAATAAACCCCACAAAACCCATCGAACCTCGCCATAGGGTATATTTATACAAGTCACAATGGAGGTAATTACTTGCTTGGACTGCAAGAAACGAACCGATACGGTTATCGACTATCGATCTGGGGATACAATCTGCACAGAATGTGGTTTAATCCTTGATTCCCACTATATTGTCGACTCTTTTGACCGAAATATCTCACATATGACTCCTCCTTCCATCAGGACCAAACACAAGTTGGACACAAACGTTCTCAAGAACCCTAACCCTAAAGACAAAGCCTCCTACACAAGCTCCAGGGTCTCATCACCATCTTGCTCCAGTCATAAAGCTCTGCTAGAAGGCCATCACGCGAGGTTGATCGAGGAGCTAAGTTTCAAAAAAAACAGGCCAATTTGATTGTCGTTTTTTGTTATTATATATTCATTATTGTTTGTATATTTAATTTAGATTTATTTAAGTGTTCGTGAGATTTGATTGCCTTGCAGTTTTCAATGATCTACCATGTCTTTGGAGCCGACAATGGAGTCTCTTGGAGGTGACTCAGAAATTTTATCTATCTAAGAGTTAATTATTTTTTTTTTGATCTGTGTTAATGATATTTCTTCTGCAAATTGGTGGTTACGAATCTAAAAAATCAATATATTGTTCTATAGATATCTCAGTGGCTGCATAAGTCGCGGAGCCTGAGGATCAGCAAACCCTGTAATCAGCGTAAACCAGGAACTAATTTGCTAATTTCATATAACTTCATGTGTGTTTTGTCAAGTTCCTATAGAGACAAGAGACCATCTGACCATCTGTTCCTTCTCTGTCCTTTTTCTCTGTCTTTTTTCGGCTGAAGTCGCGGTATCATGAAAATCTAAGTCGCGGTATCACAACCAGCTTCTCTGCAATCCTAATACAGGACTCGGTATCAAGCAAACTAGAAGACGGACTACGTCTTTGGTTTGGCGCACCAAGCAACTAAACCTCACTCTGTTATTACATTGGTCTTCTCTTTCAAGTTTGGCAAAAGGTTGCATATAATTACTTTGTAGACTTTCTGGGCAATCAATCAAAGAGTTATTTATTAATTAATGTGTGGTTGAAAAAAAAAAAAAAAAAATTTTACATTCGTTCATTCAAAAAAATATATATATCATATAAGTTAGGAAATTTCTTACATCTTATTTTGTTCTATACAAATTGGTGTTTCATAAAAACATAACAATTTACATTTATTGTATAATTGATAAAATATATCTAACACTAAAAATCATGACATGTATCAATCAATTTATAAAAGTAATATAAAGAAAAAAATAAAAATAAAAATTAAAAAGGTTATATGTAGATTTTTTTCATAATCGTTGGACTAACTTTGGAATGAACAAACCTACTATGGGTAAAACTTCTGAGCCGAAGTTCAAGTGGCCAAGTGAATCACACGGATTGTTTGCACAATGCAGAAAGAGGAATTAACCAAACCCGGTATGATGATGACAAGTTTACATTATTTACCCTAAAATCGAGACACTGTTCCATGAAGAAGCTTGGGTTAAGAAAATTTCAATTTGTTGTTCTTACTTTAGTTTGTTCTAAGAAATAAAATAAAGACATACATAGAAAAGAGGGAAAGCACCATGCGCATCCTTTATCTTATAAATCACAAATCACTTGTCCAATTAAAACTTGCCACATAGATTTTAGACAATTAATAAAAATCAATTAAAATAAATACAACAAGAAAAAAAAAGAAAAATATACACGAACCCTATCGACAATTTCTCAGAACTGCTCACCCACAATCCACGATCCTTCTTCTTCGCCCACGATCTCAACCTTCTTATACTCCCACAAACATCAGAAAATCTCTGATTCGATCCCATACAAAATGTGATTCTCCACTTCCTCGGCTTCCCTAACTTTCGTTTATACAGTGAGTATTTTGCCATTTTTTTTCTCTACAATTTCAATGTTTTAGAGTTTCAATAAGAAGAATTGGTTTATGTACGGTTGTAGGGGTGAGAAGAACATGAAGTGTCGAAGATGATAGAATCAAAAGTCAAAACAAAATTAACAAAGGTATTTTTGGCTAAATTTCTTTATCAACTGTTTAGTATTCTCCGTCAATGTCCACAGTTTTCCTTTTCTTTTGAGGTTTGATATATCAATACAATGAAAAAGAAACTCCTCAACTCCACTAGGTTTCTTGACCGCTAGAAAAAGATGATTCTTAGACAATCACAATCAAATTCGTCAATGAAATTATTCTCTAAGATAACTTTTTCAGTATTTTTAAATACAAAAATTTCACTCTCAAAATGGTTAGAATAGTCTGAAATGTGAAGAAGCATTATGCTACACGTTTTTTTTTTGCCTTCAGATGTATATGTGTTATAACATACTGATTTTTTTAACTTCTTATTGTTTTATTTCAATTTGTAAAAATGTTTGCACAAAGAGATAATGAATGAATTACTTGATGTAGAAAAACCAAAGAAGACATAAACTACTCATATAGTAGATTAAGAAGTATTAAAAGAAATACAGGAAGAGTAAGACGCAAAGAAGTAAAACATGAAATCTTTAAACTAATCTTTGTACTTAACGAACTAAGATCAATGTATTTAAATTTTTTATTATGTTTGTGGTTAATCAATGAAAAGTGTGTTAATGTGTTTTTATGCACACTCATTTTTTCTGATAAACCTTAAGTTGTTTATACATGCAATTTTTGCTTAAATGTATTGTTTGCAAACCTATGTCCGTGTGTAGCACGGGGTAATACTAGTTGTAGTATAATTGGAATGGCCTATGGGTTTCAAAATTTATATTGAATTTTTTTTTGAAAGTTTTAAAATAGAGAGGTCACATGGTAGAGTTAACCAAAGGGACTAACAAGTCACAATCACCGTGACCATGAATTAATTACATACACGATACATAAATATATATACACATCTTGACATCTATACACATACAAATATGTAAATGTGGGACATCCTAGAGGGACATAAACTACACATCACATGCATCATATATACTGATGTACCGTGTACGTATCTCTTCCTTCTTTACTTTTATGTCCACTTTCTATCTTTAGTTTTGTAGTTTATTAATACTTCTATAGAAAACCGTTTGTTATTTTTCATTTTAAGGTTTCCTTTCTATATCCAGTTGCTAAAATTATTTCTAGAAAAAAGACTTCAGATTAGAAAAGGACATAAAAAGGAATTATGTAATCTAGACTACTTTTAGTCCTAGACTACATGGTTTAAAATTCAAAGTTATTAAGCCTCCACCAAAAGAAAACAAGAATCCTAAAACAAAATTTTAGGAAACCCATAACACATCATCCATAAATAGACATGCATTTTCTAATCTGATTTTTTTTTTTTTTTTTATGATATAACAGTACTATTTTAAATTTCTATTTAAATATCAAATGTGTAGTTGATCCATTTTTTCTAATGATAATCTTTTTTTTTTTTTTTTTTTTTTTTGATAACCCAGTATCCAGACCACACAGTGATCTGACTAGTCCACTGGGCCTAAGCCCACGTCACATGGATTTTTAAGCCTCCACTTAAGAGCCCCCTGATAAACTGGTGGTCTGGGGCGCCTGAGCAAGTCCGCATGTAAATTCCCAGGTGGCCACAGGAGTGAGAGAGCGAAACTGCATCCGGGGAAGATCGATCCCTGGCCTAGACCAACAGGGCGATCCTTCCAACCAAACGAGAACCACTCGCCCACCACCATGTGGTTCTAATGATAATCTCTAACACTATTTTAAATTTATATTTAATTAAATATCAAATGTGTAGTTGATCTAACTAGACTCTTTGTCTTTTTACTATTTGAATCATGCCTGTTTCCTTATCGCAAACTATCAATATATCATTAATCTAAATTTCAAAACAATGAATTTTAACTTTATAAAAAAATAATTCACTATTGCATAAAATAAAAAATCAACAAAGATAAAACGAACATAATTTGGTTGTTATTGATGGTCATTACTCATTAGTAAGTAGTAACTAACGACAATAAAACAAACCATAAACTGTGTCGGTATTTGGTAATACATGAATGCTAACGACAGTCAAACGAACAATACTTTCATATGTTGTAGAACAAAAAGAAGAATACACATAATGGTGACCGATTTCATTTCTTCTTTCGTCGAAATCAAACATTATACATCATGGACTACCTAAACCATAAAGGTTCCAAACAAGTAATACATTAAAAGAAAAAAGCTTGCTTAAAAAAAAAAACATAATCAAAATTTAATATGAACATTATGACACAAACTATCTTCCGTTTGATCAGATGATCTATAGATCTCGATTAACTTTTGCAACACCATGACTTGTGTCCTAAGCCTGACGATATAGTCAGCAGTTTCTTGAAACAACTGTTCCGTCTCTCCACTGTCGGAATCTTCCTCCACGTAAGCATCTTGACGACTCTTCTCAGTCGTTGTTGCCGGAGGAAGAAGACTCTTAAGCGCCTGAAGCTTCTCGGAGAACTTTTCTCCTCCACATGATGAAACATTTGTTCTTTTGTTTCCGATTTTCTTGCTTCTTCTTCCTCCCCTTGATCTTTGAGTCTTTAAGATTCTCATCGTGAAGAATAAGAACAGAGGATCAAAAGAATTTGTTTTTTTCTCTCTTTTTCTAAAGATTGATAGAGAGGATCGGGGTTTATGTACGATTGGTTATTCGTTTATGACCCTTGAGTTATTGTTTATTACGAGAGTGCCACTAGTGGTGATTTCATTCCTTTGTTTGTCGTTTTGTACCTTTTCTTGGGCCCTTGTGGTTATGCAAGTTAAAATAAATATCTCGATAATATCTTAATATCACGTGCTCCTTGTCAAATATCTCTCAGGGGAATAATCCTAAATATTTTCAAACAATTGATTTAAAAAATACGTATTTAATCAAAGATAATATTGGTTTGTATTAGTGTTATCAATGGATTTATAATAAATTTAAATATGCATAATGTATAGTGTTAACAAAATAAAACCACATTTTAAACAATTTCTGCTATCGTATTAAAAATCAAATTATTTCTCATTATTCAACCTTAACTCTAAATATAATGGCTGATAAAAAAATTATTATTTTTTCGTTACAAAATTATCATGATTATGCATGTCAGAAAAAATGTATTTATAACAAAAACACAAGTATATATATGAGGTACTCATTTTTTTATAACTTAATATATATGAGTTACTCATTTTACAAAACATTTACTCCACAATAGAAAAACTATTAAAAATATATTTTATCCTATATTACAACAACAAACTAAAATGTGATAGTTTTTTTGTGTTGCAGTTTTTTCCATAAAAATGATAAATTGTTTTTTGTTTCTTTTAACTGTGAATATCCAAAAATATTTAATTTCATACTTCAAATTCAATTCTTTTCTTGTTACAATAGTTATATTACAACTTATTTTCCTGGGATGTTTTCAAAAAATAAAAAACAAGCCTAAAGCATTAGTTTTCAAATTATATACAGATTTTCAAATGAACAACAAAATATGTCGTTGATTATAGTTGGTGGTTGTAGTTATATTACAATATTTACGAACCTAAAATATGAAAAGAATGGTATGTGAAACGCTGGTTAAAGAGAGAAGTGGGAGAAGAGTGCGCATTTGCCAAATGACAGCAAAAGCCTGAGCCTTCTGTGACGGCACATGATCATATGTTTGAGGCTTTTAGCAATACCATTTTCTTTCTTTTTCCAGTTTTATTTTGCCCCTCTCGAGCTTAATCCATATAATCCATTTATTAACATATTTTACTCAAAAATAGTACGTACGAAAGATGTTAACAAATTTTCTAATCAAATGTTTCATATCATTTGACCAAATAAATGTTTTCGTTTGATTTCTTTGTTGGACCACTTTATTTTTGTCTTTTTCACTATATTAAATAACAAAATATCTTAAGACAAAATAAATAAATAATAAATCTTAATATAATGCTCTAAAATAGAATTTGATATTTTCTATTTTATTCTTCATACATGTGTCCATTTTGTTTTGTTGAAATGTTAAATGCAATGCTCAACAAAAGAATACACATATTTTTTCGTACTATCTATTGTACATCAATATAATTTTAGTGAAGACATTGTTAACAAAAGATAAAAAAAAAATTACATTTCAAATGGCAAAGAAATCACTCAAGATGAAGATACTATATAATATGTAGCGATTGACGTCAAACTAGCTTGTGAATTGCTTATAGTTTATTTTCTTCTAGTTTGGTTTAGATTTAGTTTGGTTTACATTCTGATTATTGGAAGAGAGGTTGGTTACCTTATTTTTCGTTTCAAAATTGAGAAGAAATTACACCCTTAATACTATTTAAACCACCCAAATCAATTCGATTAGTCTTTTTTTCTTTTTAATATCCAGTCACCAATAGGTTTATAAGGTTGACAAAAAAAAGGAACCTAATAAGTAAAAATCAAACAAACAAGGCCTTCACGTATGACATATGAACCAAGTCTTGAGTTTTCTACTCGACCAAAAAATAAATACCAGATTACTTTCTGTACAACTCATAATTTTCTAGGAGATAATTTGTTAATCCTCAAAATTATGAACTACATAAAAAACTTTGGAAGGGCATTTTGGTCAACAAAAAAGTGACATAATTAGCGTATTAAAATGTGCTTCGTAGAGAGGTGTTGCATGTGAGCCAGCAAAACCTCATTTGAAATATGAGAACCATGGAATTAAACCGGAAACCGGTTTGGTTAAAGAGCATGTGAAGGCACATGGGAGAAGGAGACAGAGAAGGAAGGCATGGAAGTGAACAGAGAGCATGTTTTGTATATTCATTCCCTGCATGCACATAACTTCCTTTTTATATATAAATAATACATAACATAGATGTTAAAGAAAAAAAATACATAACATATTTAACATTTTACCAAAAATAATAATAATAACATGGGTTTTAGATTTGAATAATTTAATAACCAAAAGGGAAGTGGAGTTTCTTTTTATAATTTCGATTTGGTGCACATGGTTTTCTATCTAGATTTCAGGTTAATAGCATGTGTTTAGCTGTTACTCCACGTGATTGATTTGTGTAATTGTGTACATTGATTAATAAGTATCAACTTGTACTAGTATTTTATGTAATAATTAAGGAGTAATGCACAAAAGGTAAAGAGTATTAATGCAACGTTTCTAATATCAGCCTTCTAGTCAAGTAATATATGTTTAGACGATTTAGTTGATCATTTTATAACCAAATTATTCATTGATCAACGTGCTCGTACATGTTTTACATCTGTACTTGAATTAGAGTGTCGAACATTCCATAATGTACTGAAAATAATTGATTCCAATTTTTATTTGATTTTATTCTTTAAATACCGGAAATATAACAAAACCAATTTTAAACCTTAAAGTAGATAAGTCGTTTTGTTAATTTAAAATACAAACCAGACAGCTGAACTATATTAGCCGGATTCACTACAAGAGAAACGCTGGTACACGTCAGTTAATTAACGTCATACTCAAAACCGACTTAATAAACTTTGAAAGCAAAGAATTTGCATTGGTTTACAGTGGTTGTGTAGAAAAGGAGTTCTTGATTTCTGTGTCACATAAAAACAGTCTCTAAATTTACTTAAACCGTGTCAAATACTAGTCGTAGAAATAAAGGTCTTTTGTTAAAGTGATGTTAAAATATTTAACGTCACACGTTCTTACGACAGTTTTGAAACTGATGCTATATGGTTTGAGTCGGTTTAATATCGACGTCAAGGTCAATAATAACCGACGTTATCTGCCGCATTTTTTGTAGTGATTCATTTTTCATTTATTTTTTTATATTTTCAACCAAATTACAGATGTAAATATGTGTTTACCAGGAGGTGATAGAATTAACAAAAGGTTTTGGGTTTTGTTTTGTTTGTTTGATGAAAGTGGAAGTGAGGGACAATATGATATAGGTACTTTCTATTTATTTGTATTTTTGTCATAAATAAGTAAAAATATTACAAAGAAATTTAGATGTTGACGAGACATCTTTTCGTACGTCCCCTTTGTGTTTCCTTCGTTAATTACTATTTTGTATTTCAAATCAAATTTAGAAAGCATTCGATTATGGGACTAGGAAGTGCCTATAATTTTTGAGTGTCTTCAAACACTAACACGTTGTTTCACTTTTAACCAATGAATATATATCATTGGCCCACGTCATATAAGAATATATATATATAAACATCCAAATTAAAATGCTTATTTCATTTTTATATAAGAAAAAATGGTTATTCTAGTAACAAAGTCAATAAGAAAAGACCAACCTATTCACATGGAATTTACACCCAAAACTTATTCATTATTAAAAGATATTTAGTAAATTTAAAACACTAATATAAACTCACACATAATTATGTAAATTCGTATGTAAACAAATTCTAGTTTTAATAAATCAACTTTAAACTAACAATTACCATAATTCTTAGTGAATAAAAATCTCATTTTTGGACTATTTGGATATTTATTTAAATTAGTATTGAGTATTCAAATACCGAATTTTTCACGGGCGGAGCTAGGAGCCATCATACATACTATTGTGAGTAAGCATGTCTTTGGCAAAAGTTTTGCACAAATCCATTATAAATTAATCTAAGGTGTTATTCAACCATGGAGTTAAAGTCAATTCTTTAAGGTTTAGATTTGTTTTCTGATATTGGTTTTAAAAATCTGTTTGTGTGGATTTCAAAATCTCTGCAGTATATCTTAGATTTTGATTCTAATAATTTACTCATAAAACTCTAAAGAGGTTTCATTTCAAATGATTTAATATACAAAGATTTTACAAGTCTTTTAGTTTTGAATAACACTAGATTTTAATGAAGTATTTTAAATCTTAGTTGAATAACACCAAACTATTAAAATCTAATCAAGTATAAGATCCAATAACACCAGATTTTTAAGTTAGATTTAGAATCATTAGTTGAATAACACTGGATTAGTGTTGGATTTCAATTCTATTAAAATCCATCAATGAATAACACCACCTAAGAGTCCGAAAAAACAAAAAAAAAAATTACATATGATACCAAAAAAAAATTACACAATTTATAGTAGGAAATAGGAATCAAACTCAAACACCTTGCTTTGGTTTATTTTCAAAATTCTAGTATCCATAAAGACCGGTAATTATCCGTTGCAATTAGATAACACACAAACCCCATATAAAATAAAAATTCTATAAATTAATATTCGATATATTAAGACTTCGATAAATCAATATATTTATTTGCTCATAAATTAATAAAATATTAGTTCCAACTGTATTAATTCATAGAGGTTTTAATGTAGTTTAATTACATGTAAGGGTTGTCTAGCTATATATAAAAAATCATTTTCTTTTCTATTAAGTACTTTGGATAAACTCAAGAAGTATCATGTACTCAAAAAAACCTAATTTGCTCTCTTCTCTCTCCTCTCTTTTCTGAAAACAAACCAGCCGCCGCTCATGTTCGGCCAACGTCCGGTGGCTCCTTTAGCACCGGCGTTGTGCCTCTTTAGTGTAATTTGTTGTCTTTTCTTCTTTCTCTAGCCTTTTACTCGTTCCGGTGAGTCTCTTTCTTGCGATGGGTTTTTACTTGTTCGTGAGGAAGAGGGTGAAGTTTCTGTTCTTGG